TCTCCAACTGGCCACAGTCCGGCCCCCCAAAAGTTTGAAGGACAGTGTATTGGCCCTTTGTTTAGAAAGTTTGCAGACCCCTGCTGTAGATTATCCATTCACTTTCAGAACATCTCCTTTTTCTAACTTCTCTGGTCCTTTGAAAAATTAATATACTATAGAGGTTTATTTGCTAAATGAACTTATACCGATACCTAAAAATTACAAAATAGTGCCAGTTTTATAACATTTGGTAATGTAGTTGGATCCTTAAGAGCAATCAAATAAATTATTATGACCCTGTAGGGGTGGATTCAGACTTGGTTAAGAGGATATGAACCTTTATTTAGGAAGTATAACTTCTTGGTCCTGTGTGGGCAGCCATAGGTATCTTGGTTGGTGAACAATGAGATCTCCTTGAAATATATTATACAACCTAGCAGCTTCTGCCCAGCTCTTCTCTGGACAATCTTCTGAACAGAAGACCTCTCCAAAGATGAGCAGACCACCATCTTCCTGCAGTCTGCATATACCCTTAGTCAGGGTAGCTGAAATTCACAAAACCTCTTGGATCTTTCCTATTCTGTGAAAAAGCTAGTTTAGTTCTAGAGTATCCATTCACTTTCAGAACATTTCCTTTTTCTAAAATTAATCCAGCCATATCTTGGTATGTACAGTGACTGCAAGCCAGGGTAAAAAGTCTCCTTTGATGACTTACTATACTGTATGTATTGCATCATGGGAACATCAGAGTAAAACCTAAATTAAACAGGATTTATATTTATCAAAGATGTGTCACAATGTCACAAATGAGAGCAAGAAATCTTGACAAAAGATGTTTAATCTTAAGTGTTAAACAGTACGGCTCCAGAACAATGTTTTTTTTTATTTTTTGCATACAGTACATAATGTGCTGATGTACAGTATCGGTATGTATGTAACAATCTTAATTTTTGGAAATAAAATTGTCAAAACCCCCAGAACATTATATAATTTCTGAAATCAGAGGCCCTGTAAAATAAAAGGTGATAGTTGCAAATGTATGTCACATGATATTTGCACAACTGTTTATTATACTAATTTTTCAGGAAAAAATACAATAACATATGTTTTAGTGCAAAAACACACAAAATAATATCCATTTTTGATTAATTATAAAAGATGAGGTTGCATCGAGTAAATGAATACAAACATTCCATGTCTTAAAATTGCGTGCGCCCATGATATCACCAAAAATTACAGTGCCCAAAATCACCATTATTTAAAGGCTTAAAAACAATTACAGCTCAGTTTAGAGTTAACAAAGAGATTTTGTGTTGTTATTTTTCCCACGCTCACATTCGTTTCAATATGTCACATGTGTGGTGAAATCACGGTTTATATAGACTTACACACCCTATCCTTGCATTTTCGTTTGCGCAGGAGTGCAGAAAAACAGTGGTTATGGCAATTTTTTCTTACATTTTAATATATTTTATTCTAATTTTATTTTTTATAAACGTTTTTATTTTATTTTTTTTGTATTTATTCTTATGTGATAGCATTGGGCAGGTGATAGGTACTCTTTATAGAGACATTAGAGGTCTAATAGACCCCAATATCTCCCCTACCCATTACACCATCTAATCAAGCACAGATTGGCTTGATAACTGAACCTCTCCAAAACTGAGTTTCTTGTCTTCCCCCCAGCCCGGATACCACCCCCCATTGACTTCTCTATCACATCCAACAACGCTACTATCAAACCCGCCCCGCAGGCCAGAGTACTTGGTGTCATTCTGGACTCCAACCTATCCTTCCAGCCCCAAGTCCAATCTTTAACAAACTCATGCAGACTCCACCTCCGCAACATCGTCAAAATACGCACGTTCCTAACCCCAGAAACCACTAAACAGCTCATCCCCTCCCTCATCATATCACGACTCAACTACTGCAACTCCCTCCTCACTGGCCTGCCTCGCCGCTGGCTATCCCCGCTTCAGTCGATCCTGAATACGGCTGCCAGACTCATTCACCTTTCCAACCGCTCCGTTTCCGCCACCCCCCTCTGCCAATCCCTCCACTGGCTTCCGATTGCGCAATGGATCAAATTCAAAATCCTAACGCTGACGTACAAAGCTGTCCACCATACTGCCCCGAACTACATCACTGACCTAATATCCAAGTACCGCCCAGCACACACACTCCGCTCCTCACAAGACCTCCTTCTCTCTAGTTCCCTGGTCTCCTCCTCCCATGCCCGCCTCCAGGACTTCTCCAGGGTGTCACCCATTTTCTGGAACTCCCTGCCCCAACCCGTCAGATTATCACCTACTCTCCTCTCCTTTAGGCGCACCCTGAAAACTCATCTCTTCAGGGAAGCCTACCCCACCCCCTGCTAACTTGCCGACCTCCTCCACTCTTCCTACCACTCCATCCCCCACAGCTATCTCCTCCTGTGCCACCATCCCCTCCCTCCTAGATTGTAAGCTCGAAAGAGCAGGGCCCTCGATCCCCTCATGTTTTGCATTGTATTGGTATTGTTCTGTCACATGTTCTGTCCCCCTTTGTAATGTTCAGCGCTGAGCAAACTATTGACGCTTTATAAATACTGTATAATAATACTAATAATCCCCTGGTTGTACTGGCCAGGAAATGGTACATCTGAAACAGGAAGTGACATCACTTCTGGTTTCATCTTTTACATGTTAGATCGAGGCATACAGTTGCAAGAAAAAGTATATGAACCCCTTGGGATTACGTGGAGTTTTGCATGAATTGGGCATAAAATGTGCTCTGAACGTCATCTAAGTCACAACAATAGAAGAACACAGTCTGCTGAACATAATACTACACAAACATTAGATGTTGCCATGGTTTAATTTCACATAACATGTAAACATTCACAGTGCAGGGAGGAAAAAGTATGTGAACCTTTGGACTTAATAACTGGTTGACCCTCCTTTGGCAGCAATAACCTCAACCAAACGTTTCCTGTAGTTGCAGATCAGACCTGCACAACGATCTGGAGTCATTTTGGACCACTCCTCTTCAGAAAACTGTTTCAGTGTAGCAATATTCTTGGGATGTCTGGTGTGAATCACTCTCTTAAGGTCATGCCACAGCATTTCAATCGGGTTGAGGTCAGGACTCTGACTGGGCCACTCCAGAAGGTGTATTCTGTGCTGTTGCAGCCATTGTTTTGTTGAATTACTTGTATGCTTTGGGTCATTGTCCTGTTGCATCACCCATCCCATCAATGACAACAATAATTCCAGGCCCTGAGGCAGCAAAGCAGCCCCAAACCATGATGATCCCTCCACCATGTTTTACAGTGGGGATGAGGTTTTGATGTTGGTGTGCTGTGCCTTTTTTTCTCCACACATAGTGTTGTGTGTTCTTCCCAAACAACTCAATCTTGGTTTCATCTGTCCACAGTATATTTTGCCAGTAGTGCCGTGGAACATCCAGGTGCTCTTTTGCAAACTTCAAACGTGCTGCAATATTCTTTTTGGACAGCAATGGCTTCCTCCGTGGTGTCCTCCCATGTACTCCATTCTTGTTTAAGGTTTTCCTTATTGTAGATGTGTCAACAAAAATGTTAGCATGTGCCAGAGATTTCTGTAGGTCTTTAGCTGACACTCTGGGATTCTTCTTTACCTCATACAGCATTCTGCGCTGTGCTCTTGCAGTCATTTTTACAGGACGACCACGCCTAGGGAGAGTAGCAACAGTGCTAAACTTTCTCCATTTGTAGACCATCTGTCTTACCGTGGACACATGAACATCAAGGCTTTTGGAGATACTTTTGTAATCCTTTCCAGCTTCATGCAAGTCAACAATTCTTGATCGTAGGTCTTCTGAGAGCTCTTTTCTGCGAGGCATGGTTCACATCAGACAGTGCTTCTTGAAACCAGTAAACCCAAAACAGTGTGTGTGTTTTTTAATGGCAGGACAGCTGTCAGCAACACATCCAATATCATCACACTGATTGGAGTCAAGTTTGGCTCACTCCTGGCTCCAATTAGCTCTGGGAGAAGTTATTAAGCTAGGGCCTCACATACTTTTTCCTCCCTGCACTGTGAATGTTTACATGTTATGTGCAATTAAACCATGGCAACATCTAATGTTTGTGTAGTATTATGTTCAGCAGACTGTGTTCTTCTATTGTTGTGACTTAGATGACGTTCAGAGCACATTTTATGCCCAATTCATGCAAAACTCCACGTAATCCCAAGGGGTTCACATACTTTTTCTTGCAACTGTAGAACTTCCTTGGTCTCAAAGCACTCTCCTTCCTCTAGCCGGCAGTTGTATTCTTGGGCTCCGAAAAGGGTAGAAGATTCCGGGATTCATTGGAGAAGGTGCCACCAGCTGGGGTGGGTTGCATGAAAATCAGTTAAAATATGCTCTGTTGAAGTCAGATGTTCTTCAAATACAATTGTTGAGATAGTGCTATTACCAAAAAAATAATATTTCATGATATTTATTTCAGGTGTGGTTTAATTTTATTATGTGTAAAAATGGCATATATTGGAAATGTCTACTCCTGGAAGGGGCTGGATGTTTGTAAACGAGAGGGCTGATAATGGTAGCACACACCCATCCACATATCATGATGTTGTCTGCCAATATTATAATCCTATATTTATTCACATTTTCCAGATCATTGCCCTGCCTATCAGTGTTATCTGGCTGGATCATTATTGTTCTACTTCCTGTGCAGTTTGTGTATGATTTTTCATTGGAAATTCATATTTACAGCTTACTTATTCTACAAATTGTCTCTTTCAGTGTATCTACTTCCAGCATTGGTGGACCTTTTTTGGTCCCTTGTTAGAGTGATATTAAAGGTAACCAGTCAACATGTGTAGTAAGGTGGTGACACTACAAAAGTACAAAAATACAAGGCAAGATTTATATATTCAGCCCTGCCTATAGCATACTTTCTATTAGGAATTCCAACGTCAACATTTGGAGAAAATAGAGAACAAGTAGTGTAGAACTTTATTTTTTCTCTCTTTTCAGTCACAAAGATGAATATGAATAATGAAAATGTGACAACAGTGAATGAACTCTTTTTGCTGGGGTTCCCTGGACTTGGAGGATTCAGATTTTTTCTCTTCATTCTCATATTGTCTTTATGTACCGTGGCAGTGTTCCTGGATGTTATGATTATTATATTAGTGTCAACCAGAGAAAGCCTACAATCGCCCATGTACTTGTTCCTCAGGAATTTCCTATTTTCAGAAATGTGTTCAGTGATGGTTATTGTCCCCAATATGTTACGTATCATATGGAAGGATGGAGCCACCATATCTGTCACTGGTTGCATTGCTCAGAGCTACTTGTTTGTGTCTTCAGGTACTACTGAATGTTACTTTCTCACTGCAATGTCCTATGACCGATACTTGGCCATATGCAAACCTTTACATTATAACTCAATAATGGGCCACACGCTTCAATATTTCATAGTTTTATTTTGCTGGATGTTAGGTTTTCTTTTGACATTGATCACACTTGGTTTTTTGGCTTTACTCAAGTTCTGTGATCGGTATATTATTGACCATTACTTCTGTGACCTTGCTCCTTTTATTGACATCGCTTGTTCAGATACTTCTGGTCTGCAAATCGATACATTTGTTTTGTCTGTCCCCATGGTTGCTATTCCATTTCTATTAACTGTTGTAAGTTATGTGTGTATTTCTGTAGTTATACTTAGGATGCCGTCCATCGGCAGCAGGAAGAAAGCTTTCTCTACCTGTAGCACTCACCTCTTGGTGGTGAGTATATTTTTTGGAGCTGGATTAATAAATTATTTTACACCAGTGAGAGGACGTTCTGTCGCCATTAACAAAATGTTATCAGTTATATTTACTGTAGTAACACCTTTATTCAGTCCCATAATTTACAGTCTGAGAAATCAGGATATGCGTACTGTGATAGTCAGTTATATACGGTGGCAGAAATAAAGATCCCAACACTTAAAAAAAAAATGTTTGGATTATCATAATACCTGGCTCATCAAGTATAATATTTAAGAGGCGATGGTCAATATATTGTTAAGTGAAAACTATTTATGATCAGTTTGTATATTTTCATTTACAATAGAAACATTTCAAAAGGTTAAAGTGTACCTGCTCTCAGACTATTGGCATTAAAATTACTAGTGCCATTCAAGTCAAACAGGGACTTTTGAGTTTATATAATAATAGAACAAACTTCAAGGAATGGAAACTGAATTTATATTTCAACATACTCCCCTGCTACATTTATACAGATATCCCAATGTTTAGTTAATGCCTTGAAAGCTTTGCCATAGAAAGATTTGTCAGTATGCCAGGACCATCCTAGGACAGCCGGCTTCACTTCATTATCATCGTGTTCACCATTTTCACAGAAGGGTCAGTCTTTTGTGCAATATCACGACAAGTTATGCATTGATTATCTGGGATCAGATGTTCTACATGCTGAATGTTCACAGGAATGACTGCTGTGGGCTGGGAACCACCACGGTCGGGATCAATAACAAATGTACAGCCATCTTTGAAACATTTAAACCTTTCAAATGTCTTACCGCGGCTGCGAGTCTCATCGCCATACTGTACTTGAAGTCTTCTGTAGATATCCATGGGTTTTACACCTTCTTTCACAAGAAACTTTATCACCACACGCTGTTCCATGCGCACTAACACTGTTGTCTGCCATCTTGATTAACGGTCTCTGGACTGACCCTCAACATATGCGCCACCTATCAGTAATAGAACACACTTGCCTCTACCATTGCGTGTAGCACCACCACAGTATTGATTATCCTTATTGGACATTTGATATTTGGCATCCCTTTGTACTGTCTTGGACTCTCTGAGCACCACATTCATTTGTTGTTTATTGCTGTACTGCCACGCTAGCATCTCTTTTAATACCTGTAAAATGTAAAGTTCCTGTTTGACTTGAATGCCCCTCATATTTAGGTATTGTTAACAAGCATTAAAGATCTTTGAAACAAATTCTCACTCCTTTATAGCTGTTTGAGGGACGGATTTGGGTTTCTAGAGCACTGGGCTGACTTTTCATTGAGGTGCAACCTATATGCTAGAGATGGTTTGCACCTAAATGGAAGGGGGTCTGCTGTGCTGGGGGAGAGGTTTATGGGGAGGCTGGAGGAGTATTTAAACTAGGATTGAGGGGGGAGGGAGGATTAGATTATAATGGGGTAAACAGATCAGACAGGGGTCAGTACTTATTGGTGGGTGGAATGGGGAAAGCTGGGGGGAGGGCTATGGCAGATGATAAGAAGGTTCCCATGTTACAAACAACCAGTGGAATTTGTACCATTTGTATGAAAATAAAAAAATATGCAAAATACATGAGAACAAAGTGTCAATGGATTAAAGTGTTTGTTCACCAATGCCAGAAGTCTGCCAAGCAAAATAGGTGAGTTGGAAGCTTTGGTGCATGAACAGAACTATAATTTAATTGGTATTGCTGAATCTTGGCTTCATTCTTCGCATGACTGGGCCATTGATATTCCTGGCTATGTTCTCTTTCGGAGAGACAGGGGAAATAGAAAAGGTGGTGGTGTCTGTCTCTATGTGAGAAGTGATCTCAGAGCGAATGTGAAAGAGGACCTAGTTGAGGGAGAGAGTGTGATGAGGCTGAAGCATTATGGGTGGAACTGCATGTGGGGGTGCAGACTACAAAGGTAATCTTTGGAGTTTGTTATAGGCCTCCCAGTGTTAATGAGGAGGTGGAGTTTCAGCTCCTTGCATAGATCGAAAGGGCTGCAAGGGCTGGGACAGTGATAATAATGGGGGATTTTAACTACACGGAAATTGACTGGAGTAATGGTACTGCAGGAACAATTAAAGGACAAACATTTTTAAACCTACTACAGGACAATTTTATGGTACAGTTCATAGAAACCCCAACTAGGAATGATGCTCTGCTGGACCTGGTAATCTCAAACCATGCAGAGCTTATTATGAATGTCCATATAAAAGAAAATCTGGGTAGCAGTGACCATAACATGATTTAATTTATTGTTAGCTGTAAATAGCGAGCACATACGGGAAAAATAAAACCGCTCAATTTTAAGAGAGCTAATTTTCTAAGTCTGAGAGCTGCTGTCCAAGACTTAGACTGGGAGGGAATATTGGCATCAATGAACACAACACAGAAATGGGAGTTCTTGAAAAAGACTGTATGTGAACACACTGCAAAATATATTGCCATGGGCAACAACGCTAAAAATCAAACCTATGTGGCTTACGGCCAAAGTTAAAAAAGCTATAGATAATAAGAAAAGATATTTTAGTAAATATAAAACTGAAGGAACGCTATCATCGTTTAAACATTTCAAAGAATATAATAGAATATGCAAAAAGGAAATAAAGGTTGCAAAAATTGAAAACGAACGACACATTGCAAAAGATAGCAGGACCAATCCCAAAAAATTCTTCAAATATATTCATAGTAAAAATGTACGGTCCGAGCATGTAGGCCCTGTACAAAATAATCTAGAGTGGGTGACTGGGGACAAAGAGAAGGCAAATTTATTAAATATTCAGCTCTGTGTATACAAAGGAGCATGGCGGAGCTCTTGTCCATAATGGGGGGTGGTACTGACACAGCTCCAGATGATCCACATTGGTTCACAGTTGATATGATCCAAAAATATTTAGACAGAATAAAGGTGAATAAAGCACCTGGACTGGATGGCATACACCCACGGGTCCTTAAAGAATTGAGCTCTGTCATTTCAAAGCCATTGTTTCTAATTTTTAGGGATTCTTTAATGACTGGCATAGTACCAGTAATAAAAGGAAACAGTAGTCAGATTGATACAGTAGTCAGAGAAGTGTTGGGAAGGAGGGGGGGGAGGAACAGCGGAAGGGGTTTTTTTTCACTTAATGCGTGAGAATGAGGAGGATCTTTTTTTTTTAAGTGATTCACAACACTTTAGAAAATGTTATGACTACAGTTTATACTTGTCGTAAACTGTTACCGAAGTGTGGGAATGCCACATCCATTCATTTGATTTCATCATTTAAATATCTAGTGTGATCATCTATACAACTAGAATTATAGGCAAAACTTCTTTTCTCATTTTGGATAGAGTAAGGGGGGGGGGGGGGGTTATAACTGCTGTCAGTTTATTTTTTTCCATCTGCGTCCCATTGGGGAAATTTCCCTTTATCTCCTGTCCCATAGCCACACAGAAAGTGAGAGAAAATCCCTGGAAATTAAAGGAATTCCTTGGGAATCCCCAGGTCACCAGAACTAGTGTCCCCATTGGGAAATTTTCCTTTTATTACTTTTCTGGGGACAACCCAAAATTTGGGGTTTTCTTTGGATTTCACTTTTGATGATAATGGTAAACATGACAAATATAGAGGGAGAATCTCCTTAACTGGGCAGACAGACAGCAATAAAAACTTACATCTTCACTCTGTCCATAACTAAAAAAAAAAAGGTCTGCCTTTAGTTAAACCAAAACTTCATGAAATGTTGACCCACTCATTGATAAATTTTCACACTTGTGGTGTGAACTTCCCTTGCCTACTGATGGTAGATCAAACCTTTTAAAGATAATTTGGATGCCTATCTTAGTGTATGTACTTCATAAATCACTGTAGTGCATTGTAAACAGTCATTGTAGAAAAATCATTAGTATCTTTGGGGAGAAAAGAAAATCTAGGTTACATATAGAAAGATTACAGCATCCAACTGATAGGAGATGAATAGCAATCTTCAATCCATGGATACATTCTAAATCTTGACAGGTACAACACTTTGCAGACTGATATAAGGGGATCCATCCTTTTTTATCAGTCAATCAGTGTAGGAGAGGTAGATCACTTAGAGGTTTTAGAAAAGGGGACTCTTTATTCCATGGACGGTGCCCCAATTTTTTAGTCTGTTAAGTGGACATTGGTGGTGGACATTGGTGAAGAAATTACTAGGGATAATGTGTGTTTACTTCTTTACACATACTTTATGTATAGGAAAATGGAAAAGCTGGAGGAATGTATTCTATGAAAACAACAAAGAATGTTACAATTTGAGCAACTGTATTGTAATGATTATCATCCCTACATTCTTTATAGTAGGAGTCTTCAAAAATCCCATCTTTGGTATTATGAGGAGGAGTAGTGCCCTATTGTTAGTGTCAGTGGCAGGAATTATGCCCCATTGATGGTTTTAGTGGGCAGAATAGTGTCTTCTATCAGTGGGATGAATAGTGCCCCAAGGACTGGATAAAGACAAGCAAAGGGGTGCATCTGGCCCCCGGGCCACAGTTTGGAGACCACTGCTTTATACCTAAACAGGGCTTTTTATAAGTATTTAAAATGGCCTCATGCAATATTCTTCCAGCAGAAGATAACATCTTAATATTGCAGCAATATTGTCTCAGCATACATAGGAGGTTATTTCCTTTTTTTTATTATTATTATTATTATACAGTATTTATAAAGTGCCAATGGTTTGCTCAGCGCTGTACATTACAAAGGGAGACAGAACATGTGACAGAACAATACCAATACAATGCAAAACATGAGGGGATCGAGGGCACTGCTCCTTCGAGCTTACAATCTAGGAGGGAGGGGATGGTGGCACAGGAGGAGATAGCTGTGGGGGATGGAGTGATAGGAAGAGTGGAGGAGGTCGGCAGGTTAGGAGGGGGTGGGGTAGGCTTCCCTGAAGAGATGGGTTTTCAGGGTGCACCTAAAGGAGAGGAGAGTAGGTGATAATCTGATGGGTTGGGGCAGGAAGTTCCAGAGGATGGGTGACACCCTGGAGAAGTCCTGGAGGCGGGCATGGGAGGAGGAGACCAGGGAACTAGAGAGAAGGAGGTCTTGTGAGGAGTGGAGTGTGCGTGCTGGGCAGTACTTGGATATTAGGTCAGTGATGTAGTACGGGGCAGTATGGTGGACAGCTTTGTACGTCAGTGTTAGGATTTTAAATTTGA